ATCGTGAAAATTAAATGAGATTTAAAATTGAGAATAAAAATAAAAATGAAATTCAAAAACTTGACACTTTACTTACTCTTAATTTTTTCTTTACAACTTATATATTATGTATTATTTTAATATACATATATTATCTTCTATCATTTTTATCTTGACTTATCGCACACGTCGAATTGATTAGATATCTTAATCCTTGTATTATATTTAAACACATTTAAATCACTATCAAGGAAATTCAATTTGTGCAGCTGTTGCTTGAAGAACGGTTCTATCAGATTGCCGGTTGATTTATTGACGAGGATCTATGGAATTAGCGGGAGAACGGCTCTCTCCTCTCGCTGCGGTCCTAAAATAACGAGAGTTCAACGGTAGTGCATTTAAATGACGCTGTTTTCGTCGCGTCGAACGAATCTATATGCACTTCTCCCGACCGCACCGAATCCGGGAACCCCGGTCGAGGATATTTGTTCCCTCGCGGGAATGTTTTCGAGAGTCATGTGATAAGCATCTTCGGTGGCGACGTTGCCAGGCGATCGATACTTCGCCAAGAAGCTAATGATTAAATTTAATTTAGTAAGAAGCTTCTCCTCTCCGTTCCAATCGAATTTCACCGCTTACACTTAGCTGATGATATATATATATATATATATATATATATATATATATATATATATATATGTGCACGTGTCTTGGAACAAACGTTGCAAAATGCCGCATTCTTGAGTCAACCCGGAATCGAGTGTCCCTCGCAAAAATGAGGCAAAAATTAATAAAGCATCATTTACGTGTCATAATACATAATATTGAGCAGGAAACGTCTTTTGAGGAATATGGAAAATAAATATAGACTTATTATATATTATCTAAATTTAAGGAATTTGAGAAATAACTCGTCAGAGTCTTGCTCGGTTTGGAAAACGCGTCGGTATCTTCGTCGAGGAAGCGCCGGTTCTAAATCGTTGGAAGGATCTCCATGGAATACACGGAGTGTCTTCGTCCGGAGACACCCTGTATAAGTGTATTTAATGCGCAATTGAAGATGCACGCGTGATCGCTTTACGACGCTGCGTCGTAATACGCGTCACGCGGGAAGAAAAGAAACGAGGCGACGACGGTTCTTTGACCATTAATCGCTTAGCACGATTCTCGCCTAGCTCATTCAGCGCCGCTTCCGTCTTCGGCACAATGGCGGCGAACGAAGGTCGAGCCGTGCCTCCGTTCTGTATACGCGACCATGTAATAAATTTTACAACGCAAGCGCGTCGTGTTACATCGCGCAACGAGCCCGATGAACGGGAGTAAAAATATACACGTCGAGGCGATCGGAATTAACTCAATTCCCGATTCCGCAGTCGTGGAATGCCTGCTATTGAAATAAAAATGAGACATTCGAGACTGATGAATCGCGTGAAATTACGCGTCGTCCTCGGATGCCCTCGGTTGTCCTTCTGTCGCTCTGCACGTCTATAATCTTGCGGATTATATACATATAATTTGTAATCCTTTCTCTCTTTCGTTTCACAATGGAATTCCTCGCGTCGGTGGATGCGTTGGAAATCGTTCAGAAAGCTTCCAGAGTTTTAGAAGTAGGGATTAACCCTTTGCAAAAGTCGAGCTGGACTCGACATAATACTCTGCCTTTCGCATAGTTCTCTGATGGTTCGAGTCGATGCATGATATAATCGTCAAACTACATTTCTGAGCTCTCTAGAAATTCTTTTAAATAATCAAAATTCTGGAATTTATATTATACTTTGATTGGATTAAAAAAAAAAAATTAATTCTCGCTTATCTGGAAGAAATAAATTGGGGCCTGCAAAAGGATCAAGTCAGTCGATTTCGAATTATATTTCTGAGATTTCCATAAATTCTTTATAATAATTCTTCGATTCATATTATACCTGCTGATTATATTGAAAACAAAATATTTGCGTCACGTTTATTTGCGTGAGAAATAAATTGGACTGCAAAAGGATCAAATCGGTTAAATCATGTTTCTGAAATCTCCATAAAAATTCCTTGCAATAATTCTTCGATTCATATTATACCCGCTGATTGGGTGGAAAACAAAATATTTGCGTCTCGCTCATTTGTGAGAAATAAAACTTGGACCGCGAAAGGATTGAGTCCAGCTCAAAATTCTTCTTTCGTTATTTCTACGCGTCGGCGAGATCAACGGGAATGCCAAATGCGTACGTTGAACGTAATTCTCGAAGTAGACCGTGACGACGGGGGTGTTACCGCGCGAGAAGCTTGGCTTCCCGACGAGGAAGAGGAACTCGCCGCCACGACGAGAGCGGACGAAGCGTACGTGACTTCGAAGAGACTCGGTCGTGCGTCGAATTTAATCTAATCAAACGATCGTTTACGTTTACAAGGTCGTAAGCTCGCGAATTGACACGATCCATCTTCTTTCTCGGCCACCGAGAAGCTCGACGTGTCGTTCCTCCTTCCCTCTCCCTCTCTCTTTTTTTTCTTTCTTTCTTTCTCAAACAATGCTTTGTGCCGGGACTGCCGGGGATGAGATAGAGTCTCGTAGATAAGACACGTTCGTGCATACGTACAAGAATTGTACGTTTATCAGCGACAACAAACATATCCTGGTCTGGTTTGTCTTATGCTCTCTCTCTGTTCCGATATTATATAAGTTTCATCAAATCTGAAGGAAATTGATATATCCGACATGCAATCTATGATGTTATTTAATGTACGTTGAACACCGGGCCCCGTGTTTCGATACGGCACGCGATAGGATAGGACGCGTATTTGATACGCGAGCTGAGTCACCGGAAAGAGGAACGCTCGAGTACCTTATGCGGCTTGGAAGGCGCAAGGAAAATGCGTGGAGCATACAATTCGGGTGGCTCGGAGAAAGCCGAACGTTAGGAATGTTATTTCTGTCGCCCGAGAGTACAGCAAGCCCGAAATGTCTGTTCAGGCTTACGGGATAATTAACGCTTCAGTGAAATGCATAAAATAATACTTTTCGTATATCGAAGGATCATATATCATTCTTGTGCTCAATCATGCACAGTCATGCACAATTGTCTCGAGGTAGCTTCGAAACGAGAAACTTTGAACCGAAGGATGGAATCTTTTTTTATGAAGTTGTTGGGGATCGTTAGGAACGTTTCTCGGAGAAACCTTCAAATGCTTCGTCACCTTTATTCATCTAACTTCGGTTCCGGGAAAGATGCCCGAATAATCTGGAACGGAATCGTTCTGTACAACTCATATTGCGGCAACTCGACGTCGAAAGTTGATTTCTCGGCCTTTGCCGAGTCGAGTCGAGTCGAGTCGCAGCAATATGGTCTGACGAGCACGTTGCGAGAGACATGGCGTCAATCGTCGACGCCAGAAAGACCCCCGGCGAGCGATTACTTGAGTTGCGGTTGCCGGCCGGAGCTCGGCCGGCTCGGCCTGTAAATTTTGCAGATGCTAACGAGAGCTCGTCGCATCGTATCGACTTTGGGGTGGGGAAAAATGCATCGTGGCGGTAGCCACGTGACGAGATCAATTCGCGAGACACGGCTAGTCGCGTTGTTGTCGACTCGCCGACCTCGTCCCCGATGAAAATCCACCTAGGAGATCGCCTACGCAATAAACAGCCGCACCCTGAATCAGTTTATCATAGGAAGAGGCGCGCGAGAAAATTCTCGAAGCTCGGGCTCGCGGAGAGCTAGAACGGAGAGCCGACACGCGGCTCGTCCGCCATTTTCTGTTGCAATTCGAGATTTTATGGGACGAAGCGTCGCGAGGCGGGAATTCCCGCCGGAGATCACGCCTCGCCCGCGACTCCCCCGGGATCCTCGTTGGAATTCCGTCGAGAAATTCCGCACGGGGATCCGCGACGGGTTCTCTCCCGGGATTCTGAAAAAAAAGTCGCATCTCTCGGCCGCAATGGCGTCGTTTGCTGATGTGGCCGGCGTGCCCGAGAAAACGGTTGCCCGTTACGGCATGTGCGACGAACGGAACGACGCGAATGGGCGCGGTTGTATGTGGTGCCATCTGTCGGCGGCAGGTGATACTAAATATGACTGCGCCGCGTCGCGTTGGATGGCGCCATGATACTGAATTTAATTCGAAACGTCCGCATGATTGTACAAATCGATTATTTCTTTATAAATAAATAAATAAAAAATATATATATACAATTGCTAATTATTGTGTAATATAGTTAAATATTAGTTATATACAATTTTACATATAAATTGCATATATTAAATATATAAAATTACATGAATAAACAGAATAAATTGTAATTAGATATAAAAATATTTAAAAATAATATTTTAATTCCCTGTGCCATAAATATTAGAAAAAACTTGCATAATTAATTACAGCTAATGAACATAAAGGAAACAGCGAATTTTCGAATATTTACAATAAGTTCTCTAAACTTATATTTCAATTCCTCAATCTCGGTCATTGGTTTCGTATTTTAGTTTTTCAAATGGTTCTTTAAAATTTTCGCAAACTGGCGATTTTGAAAAAGCAGGATGATCGAGAGATCAATAAAGATCTAATTTGCACGTTATGTATTTTTTTTGCAGTGCACGGATTTTGTGAAGGCAGGAGCGGAGCAAGGATTGACGCCATCCGATGTCGTTCTGGCCGCCGATATCACTTTCTCGTGCGTGGCTGACCCTCAAGCTGCTAAAGATGTAAGTATTCGAAAAGTTAAAATATTACTCTCTAAAGATAATCTATCTTATCCTCCAACATAGCTGTGCTAAGAACCGTCGGGAATATGTGCGGAAATTGTCACGTTAAAACTGTTTTCCAGATGGTTTTTGGTAACTGCGGTGTCTTGACGGAGATATCACCCGACAAGAGCTACGTCGAAATGACCGGTATTGACGCGGAGACGTCTCAGGACATCGCCGAGGCGATAAACGGCAAGGGTGGTCGCTATCTCGAGGCACAGGTGCAAGGGAGCAAAACGCAAGCGCAAGAAGGCACTCTGGTCATCCTTGCCGCTGGAGATCGGTCGCTCTTTGACGAATGCCAATCCTGCTTCGAGGCAATGGGCAAGAACAGCTTCTACCTCGGCGAAGTCGGCAATGCTTCCAAGATGAATCTTGTACTTCAGCTAATGGCTGGTGTCACTCTGGCAGCTCTGGCCGAGAGCATGGCACTCGCGGATCGCGCTGGACTCCAGCAAAAGGACGTTCTGGAGGTTCTGGAGTTGACATCTCTGGCGTGTCCGGCAATTCTTGAGAAGGGCAAAGGTAGACGTCGATTTTTATCGGCCAATTGTTTCTTCCACGTCTGCGTTAATCCTCATTTGACTCGACACAACGATAATGCACTTTCTAGTAATTTTAATAATAAAGATTCTATCTCTAATAACTTTATTATTTTAATTATAACAATAATATAATTTTAACGATGCTATATGTCCCTTCTTTACCAAACTGATTGAGGATTAAGAGTTTACGTATCGAACTTGTAGTTAACATTACTTTGATTTTGCTTCGCAGCGATTATTGAAGGCGGTTTCCCTACTCAATTACCGCTGCAACATATGCAGAAGGACCTGCGACTGTCGTTAGGCATGAGCGACCAGTTGGAGCAACCTTTGCCGCTTGCTGCCGCAGCGAATGAAGTTTACAAGCACGCAAAGCGTCTTGGATATGGCGAACACGACGCCTCGGCCGTTTATATTAGGGCTAGGTTCTAACGCAGCATGCGCTTCGTGTTGTTGTCACCGAGCTTCTTCATATTTATTGCGATACCTGACGTTGTTTCCCGCCGCTAAGAAAGAAAGAGAAAAAGAGAGGGGGAGAGAGAGAGAGAGAGAAAAAGAGAGACAGATAAAGAGAAAGGAGAGTACATATTACTGTATACATAAAAAATATATTCGTATATTTTTGGTTTGATATAGGTTGACGATTTCGAAAGATATACACGCCGTGTAAACATTTGTGAGGTTTTACGGAAGTAGAGAATTGAAGTTAAGCAACGAGGAAACAAAAACGCGGTAGCAAATCGCAGAAGAGCTTTGTCGACTCGCGTCGCGAAGAAAAATGTTACAACTATTTGAAAAAAAATTTTTTTAAATTAATTTCTCACACTATGACAATGATTTGGATTATGGCAATATTCTTTTTTTTCTGATATCAAAGCGATAGCTTCCCGTGTGCATGTCGATGAAGGGAATATTTTTCTTCGCACGCGGACGGAGGATTAGCGTCGGTTTGATTAACAGTCGAGCTCCCGAGTCGCGTTTCGGTTTCGATCGCGCGCAAGACGCCCACCTAATTCGGTTTCGAGAGATTCGGGACGTGTCGGAAGAAAAATAATGTGCCTTACGATACCGATTGAGGGAAAAGGCTTAAATAAAACGTTGCGCGAGATAGCCGCATTGAAAGCGGCTCATGATAAACGATTACACTGTATCGGCGTGAGATTATGCCAACGGCAGGGAGATTGACGAGCTCGATCACGACGGTGACGGTCACGAACGTTAATGACAGTAGCCACGGAGAAGTGTAGAGACCGCACGTTTTACGTGGTGCAATTGTAAAGTTAAAATTACGCGAATATCTTAGAAGCCTTTGCCAACCCGAAGCGATAACAGCAAGAGGTTGACGACTGATTCTTTCTTGCATACTTTCGTCTTCTTTATGATCTAAAGGATAGCTTTTAATGGACTATTTTATAGACGCACTTTTATTTTCATAGCTTTCTCGAGTTTGTATGTCACACTTTGTACAACGAACAGACGCACATATATTATCTTGCGCTGTTTATTAGTAAATTTAGCAGATCTAACTGAAGGATTAGTTATTTTTCTGGAGATTTATCGGCAAACTCACATGACAGTACCGTCATCAATTCGTCCGTGCAGAAAAAAAATTCTTATGAAATCGTGAAGTTCGACGTTTGAATTGGAAAAAAGGAAAGATATTAACGCTCGCATTAACTTGGTTCACTTTTACCGACGCTGCTGTTAATCGACAAGCTGACGTGCAGCGCATTATAAATTAATGAAGATACAGAGGGACTGAGGAAAATGTTATTTAGAATAGATATATGTGTATATTATATGTTGCGTTTTCTTATCTTCTTAACAACGTTAACGATATCAGCTTTCCTCGAAGGCCTGGCCTTGAAAGCAGTAGTAGAAATTGAAACTGTACGTCCGCAGATATTTTGTACTTTTAGTCATTCCACAGTTTTGAAAAGGAAAGTTTCAAACCCAAAGTCACAAGCCGAGCATGATAAAATCTGAATAAAAAAGTACACTGATGAATGATTTTTGCGGGTGTCACTTTCCCAAAACTTTCCCTGACGTAATTCGTTTAGTATACCGAAATTTGTCTACAAAAGCGAGTCGCGTGTTCGACGGACGTCGAATTCTCGGAACGGTTCGCGATAACGTACTTTACTACCGCGTACGAGTCACATGATCGCATGATCTCCGCGAGAAGAGAATCCTGAGGGGAGAGATGAATGAGCGAAGGAAGCGTTTTCGTTTTCCCAGGAATATGATCTCGTGGGCGACGCGCGTCGAAATCGAGAGTGACTGCAGGATCGCGAATTGGCCTGCGTGGGAGACTTGGTCGAGGAACCGAAAGAAGAAAAAGATGCATGAATTTCCCCCCGATGTGCAAGAAAATATTGTCGGCGTTTAAAGATGCATGAAAATCCGCAGAGAGAACTTCTTCACGTCGAAATAAATTTGCGCTATTTCTATAGAATTTTTTATCTTTTTCCTGCCAAATTATTGCAGACTTTTTGTGAGAGTTCTTGAACATTGATTTTACAAAGCTCAGGCGATGTCCGATAGAAATGCGTGAAGTATTTTCTAAACTGTTGCCTCTGATATATTTTTTGTATATTCTTAGATTAAAAACTGCAAATTTTTACGTTGTGTTTAACTATGATTTTTGTCGGAGAAAATATTTAGAGAAATGATTAAAAAAAAAAAAAAAACAAGAAATTTTCTTTTGGCGGAGAACCCAAGCGAGATTATTTCTGCGTCGAAGAGTCAACTTTTTTTTTTATGTAGTTTCCATTTCTCTTCAGGCGGCAATCCTTTCACACCACCTGCACTCTTATCTACAGATATTTCTCGAAATCGAATGGATAATCGCGTCATTCACGCGGCACAGATCTCGAATTTATGTAAGCGCGTGCGGGAAATTGCGTAGCGTATAGCTGAAATAACAGTGGCTCGGCGCCATATCACGTGCGACAATGTAATTAGACACATACACAGTTGACAGTTAAATAATAACATCACAATGACACATTTTGTATGTGTATGAACCTGCAACCTGTGGGGCGGAGATAGAATGAGGAAATATTATATTCTACTGCATTAAACAAAAAGCATAAAGAAGGATATATTATTAGTAAATATTAAGTTTACTAAAGAAAAAAAAAACAAGCAGAAATCGAAGGAGAAGGAGGAGAGTAATGTGGGAGTAATTAGTGTGAGTGCGAGCGAATGAATGAGGGTATACGTTATGCGCGTTACGTCGGCAACAGACGTTATATGTTTTGTCACGGATACACAATGGTTTTTAAATAAATATCTATTTGACCTATGAATTTTATCTGTCCTGCCCCTGAAATTGTGTCATACTTTTCTTTAAGTGGCGACTCCGTCGTTTGCTTCGTTTTACTTGAATAATTTGATTTATATCAGGCGTTGTCCTTCGGACTTTTGTTCTTCAATTAATTCAGCAAATATGTATATCGATTTTAGATGAAACGTTCAGTCTAATACACTTTTATTTTGGATTCTCTAGATATGTCTTATATAAACTTTTTCGACTGCCGTATTATACGTTTTTAATTTTCATATTCTCGAGATAAATTGTATTTTGTATTTCTATCTTCTAATAGTAGCAATAAGAAAAG